TGCTCTTCCGATCTCCCCAAAACCCCAAAACCCCGCAAAGTTACATTTATTTTAATTTTGAGTTGATACTTATATATTAATTTTATTTTAAAAACAATCTTAGTATAAATGAGTAAGTGCTATCGAAATTATCTAAAGTGATAATAATCATTATTGAATAGGACTCCACGAGTTGGTGAACAGTGCTGAAGAGGTAAACGTAAAGCCATAGCATGAACAAAAATTGAGACAGGCAAACAAGTAATAATTGCTTGCATTCTTGAAGAAAACTGGTATTGATGGCAAGGAATAGTAAACCAATGCGACTTATAAAGTGACTAAGGACAGAGAAGATATTGAAGAGATGACTGATAAACTTTCGAGAAAGATCAATGAAAAGTAAATAAAGGTTAATAAGGTAAATTACCATTTTCTTCTAATATTTGAATAGTTGGAAGAGATGAGAAAGAACATTGAAAGAGACATTTAGGGTTTAGACACTGCTATTTAAGCAAATAAGGAGAAAATAAAGAAGAGAGAAGAATAACTAGGGCAAGCAGATTTATCATGCAAGAAACAAAGAGACGAGCTCAAAAAGATTTAAAAGAGAATCACACCTAAGCTCTGCAAATAGTTGTTCTCTTATTTAGAAAAGAACACACATGATAAAGTCTGTAGAATGATGGAGGCACTAGTTGGAATGCTAAGAAATACTGAGAATTGCAATAGCAAAGATGTTGAGGTAAGATTTAAGCAAATAATATTAAAATTAGCTTTATCTATCAAAACAAGAAGGATTGGTATATAAAATGGAAAAGACTCAACCAGAGTATGTTAGAGATTCAGTTATTGAAAAGCATTTCAACACAATCAAGGGTATATAAAAGAGTTTTATTGATTCTACTGACCCAGAATTCAGTTTCTGTTCCAACTATGCAGCTTTCATCGCATGGGCTTCCCAATATATAGTACTTTGCAAAGACACCCAGTTCCAAACAAAATGCAAGAACGGATTGAGTGCTCTTAGAAGAGATCAAGAAAGCAAGAAGTTCAGAAGAGATAACAACTAAACTATCCTAGATAACTTCAATAAAGACGGTTATATCTCCTTCCTTGAAAGAGAGATCGTAGATGAGAGATCTAAAATTGAACAGAACAAGCAGTTATATGCTGACCTTACAAACACTGCAGTTGAAGAGTAACAACTTTATGTTGGCTATGAAAAGCTCTTCTTCCAGAACCTAGAGTAATTCGTTATCAAGAAGAAACTAGCTGGAAACATGCAAAAGCAAATGGAGAAAAAATGAAACTAGATGGGTAAACATTTAAATTTTTGAAGATGAAATAATATTAAGTTAAGAATTCTAAATAAACTAACTAACATTATTTCTAGTTTATAGTAGGTGATGTGAATGAATCTTTCAGTCTATTAAATGAAATAATATTATTCGCTTTCTTATTAATGCTAGATTAATAAGATTTTAGTCCATCGGGGTTTTGGGGTTTTGGGGTTTTGGGGTTTTGGGG